ATGACGGATAGCGGCATGATAACCTCGTGGGCATGGCGGGATAGTTCATAGGTGAACGATCAATAACACAAGCAAACATGCCAGCTAGGAGGAGAGTTTTATGCAAGGGGCCACGGAATCTACGGCCCTGAACCTAGTGTTGTCATTGCACACTAACATGGAATTTGTATTCCTTTTGGGGGTGTCGAAGCAAGAAGCAAAGCAGCTCTGAGCTGAGCACGTATTTCACAGTTATTGGATTACTTTCGCATGCAGACCACAAGCATGGACCAGTAGCTGTGAGCCATGCTACCAGAGGAGGATGATGTCCATTGACCATGGACCAGAAAGCAACCTGAACAGCGCATAACTCTTATCAAGAGGCAGAAATATCATAGTCTTTCCCTTTATCTGCCCCGCAGTTCCTACAGTCGAACAGGCTGATGTCGTCCAAAGTGGGTGAAGAACCCATGTAGTGAAGTGCTGAGTCCCTTTTTTTGCTCAGGAATCCATCCATAGGAGCGCTGCTGCTCTGAGGCCCCTTCTTTTCCTCATTATGCCATGGCACATCTTAAGCATGTTACAGACAAATCAGGGCGTTTGGCATGGAACGCCAAGAAAGTATGCAAAAAAAAGCCGTCCATCCACAGCTCAGGTACGCACACACTGCTCTCCGTATCGAAGCGCGGAGCATGCATCTCGATGGCGCATTACTACATGCGCTGTTCGAATGATCGTCAACATCAAATTGAACAAGCGTCAAGCCCCTTTGAAACGAGGGCACACAAGTTATGAAATAAGCGCGCCACGAACCCTAGGCAAGGGGAACATGCTGTGCCTTCAACTCTGACACTCCTGGTACAAACTCCTGACACCATCTCAACTCTCTTCTACAAGTGATAGACGAGAAACATTTGACAGGCGCGAAAAGTCTCCAATCAAGACCCAACCTATCCTGCTGGGCGGCATTGCATTGATAAGTGCCCCTGTCTGGGTTGATATCTCAGCCAATGGTACGCAAAGACCTGAAGGAATGCCGGGCTGGACTAGCGTTCTGATGAGCATCAGACCCATCCAGGGTGAGCGGCTTCAGAGTTTCCAGGGTTAGTTCTGAGGTGTGCATCATCGTCATCATCATGAGCACCCAATATCAGGGTTTCTGCTAATAATGAATGAGTGTCCAATCATTTTGTTGCAGGCGTCGCTACAGCAGCGGGCTCACACACACACACTCATAGGCTGAGACAGTCAGGATGCTGGAGGCTTGCTTTGGTTGGGCTGGACTGAACTGGTTCTGAACTATTTTGAGCATTTCCTTGCTGGAGTTGGCTGTTGATTGTTGACGGTGTTTATGATGGTTGCTTGGGTGTTCAGGTAACAAACCCCCCCAAACTTCCTATGGCGTGAGATGCTCTGCATTGGATCCGATGCTTCCTGTCCGGTCGTTATCTCGTGTTTTATTGTCACTATTCCTGTTCCTGTCAGTTGCAGTTGTTGCTGTGGTTGCCCTCTTTCAGGGCGTTCGCTACAGCGGGTTCGTGCTGTAGTTCCATCTGTAGCATCCACTCTAATCAATGGAACGCCCTCCTTTTCTCGTCTATTTTTTTTTCTTCCGCAACATCCCACTCTTTTCTCCAGCGCGCGCGTGCAGTTCATTCTTGTCATTTGCAAAGAGACTTTAGCTCTACTGATATTCATCCCTCCATCTTGCTTTTGGAGCCCTCCTATTTTAATTCTTTGGGATCACACGCCATCTTTCCCGCCCAATACCCGCGCCTCCATCATCACGCTACGCTACGCTACGTGATCCTCAGGAGCTGGAACCCGTCGCAAGAACCGTGCTCTTCGTACTCCGTAGAGGCTCAGTCTTAGACTCAGACTCAGGCTTGCCGGACCCTGGTCTCGAAGGACCCCTCCACCTGACTGCACTCAATCTCGTCTGCTGGTGCTGGGCTATCTGCTTTGTCCCGCCCGCCCCTCCATCAATCTCGTGCTATCGTCAACATCCAACTTTGTTTTCCGCCTTTTCACTTTGGTCGGCGCAACGCATTCCTCGAGCTCGCGACTGACTCTTGCTTGATTTCGCCTCGTTTTCTTTGCCTCTCATCGCTCGTTGAGCTTATGCTGCCCAAGTCGTGCCCAAGCAACACCCAACGCAACCTTACGGCAGCTAGTCTTTTGCGCCTGTCATATCAGCAACCTCGTCCAGGCCATACAGAACTCTGAAAAAAGCACCGCCCCCGATTTTATTTTTGCTTTGCGTGCCTCAAAACCATCCCTCGGCCGAATCATTTCGTCCCCTGGCCCTTGCGCCCCTCCTCTCAGCTTCTTGGAAGCCAGCACTTCTGCAGTCTCTTCAAGACGTTGAATCTGCGTTGTCTCCCGTTAAATACCGACCGTCTCTCAGAACTGCACCGTTGTGCAGGTTTACTTCTCTTCTCTGCACAGCGAAACACATCTTATTCACCATCGACACTCAAGTGTCCCCTGAACAGTCATGGTTTCCTTTTCATGTGAGGTACGTTATTCGGTGAAGTGTATTCTCTGCATTGTTTACACTCCGATCCGCCAAGTCTCGACTTTTTATCCATTCCCATGGATTAGTAGTTATGCTGCTATCCAAAGACTCCCGCCGCTCAAGCCATATCCATATCCTATCCCCCTCCGTTTCCATATCTCTCAAACAAATGCCCCTTCACTCCCGTCAATGCCAATGCCAATGCCCACCCCCCTAAACAAACCTCATACACGCCTGACATCACTCCCACCACACCATTCTTGTCACGAACTGCCTCCTTCAAGGGACACCCCTTCTTCCCCATGCCGATCTCCTGGCCCACCATAACCGTCTTGCCATGCTCTCGCCTCCCCTTGCATTCCTCAAATATCCCAGTACACCACCCCGCCGCATCGAACGAGTATCCATTGTCTTGCATCCCACTTATACCCTTCATGCCGTAGTTTATATCAGCTCCGTCCTTTGTTATACTAACTTACATACAGGCCTGCGGCGACGTTCTTACCAAGAAGAAGCTTGATCCTCATCGTAACCGCTGTCGCGGCGCTACCTTCACCTGCATTGATTGTATGGTGTATTTCCCTGGCGTCCAATACCGATCACATACCGTATGTACCACAAGGCTTTCTGGTAGCCATTCCCCCCCTGAACTCGTGTAATCGTCTGACATCATATAGAGTTGTATGACCGAAGACCAGAAGTACCAAGGTGCGCTCTATAAGGACAAGAAGAACAAGAAACAGAAACACAGTCACCCCAACGATAACCAGCAACACTACGCCCAAGACCAAGCCATGACTGAAGTTCAAACTCTCCCCAACAACACTGGTAACATGAGCCACTACGCCTACGTTGAAGACGTCCCTGAGGATCAGTTCGGCTGGGCCGAGTACGAAGAAAGCAGTGATGATGAATCGCCAAACGGCCCGCCCCCAGAGGCTCCTACGCCTCCTTCTGCTGCCCCGGAGCCACATGTTGATGTTTTCGAATTCCTCGTTGGAACTGGACAAACACCCAATGCTTCCAACATGAATCTCGACGCGGAGCCAGGCAACTCACTGGTACGATACGAACCCAAGGACAAGGGCGACGAATACGGCTTCATGGATGACGACGATGAACCTGCAGTCGAATATGGAAGTGGCCCCGTGCCAGCCGCCGAATTTGTTACACCCGCTTCAAAATCCGAAAGACGCAAAAGCCGGATCAGCACTGAGAAGAAGGACAAGAAGCGCAAGCGATTACATATCGATGTTCCTAGTGACCAAGTTATGACGGATGCTCCGCCGGTTCTTCACTCAGGACTCACTGGCGGCATCAACCGTATGATGCGCCCTGTATTCCCCCCATCCCCTGATTACTCCGGTGGTGACGCTCCGGAAGTTTCTCCGGCGAGCCCTCTGAAGAAGTCAAAGCACTCCAAACATTCTAAGCACTCGAAGCATGCCTCTACTGGTCATAGCCTCTTTGGCATGATTGCCGGCAGCAAGCCCAAGTCCAAGTCCAAGACGAAAACCAAGTCGTCAAGCAAGACCAAGAAGAGCTCTTCCTCTTCCAAGAAGTCCCATAAAGAGAAGAAGCCTCAGCAGCTCATCGAGTATCGCCCTCAGAGCAAAGATGGCAAAACAGACCCCAGCGCTGGACAAGTCGTCCTCTACAAGCCTCGAGCCGATGTCTTCCTCAGCTTTGTCGACAAGGGTCCTGAGAGTGAGAAGGGCGTCAGCTTAAACAGAGTTCTCAAGCGTTTCCACCGAGAGCGTGAGGCTACTGGCAGCGAGTTGGGTAAGGGCAAGGAAGAGAAAGAACTCTGGAGATCACTCCGACTTCGACAGAATGAACAAGGAGAGATCGTCCTGTTCTCTGTTGAGTGATTATACAACTTCAGATTCAAACAGAAAGAAAACAAAAAAAAGCAACAAAAAGAGCAGCATTGGAAGATCAGGCCGAAAATCGGACAGACACCGAGCATGGGATTCAAGGAGTTTATGAGGATGATGCATTGAGACAACGTTTTTTTTTTTCACGATACCTTTGTCGACAAGCTTTTATTTTGTACAAGTTTTCGGGAACAGATGGGATCGGAGGGGTTCAGCTTGCTCGTCAGGTGTGTATTTGGCGGTTGCGAGTATTGGGGCCCCTGGATCTCCATCAGTAATTGTGTATAGTATGTATACAAGGGAACGGACGGGCATCTCTTGCTGGATGCAAGGATGGGCCATTTTTCTTGGTGTTGAGATTTATTCTTTCAAGACTATGCTTTAGGAAACCGAATGGCAGATAATGGGCGGTTGGTGCATCGGACGGACTGGAATGGATACCACGAAAGGATTGGAGCGGTTTTTTTTATAGCGGCATGAGCCTGCTCTGATGATACCCATGGGCCCTGAGCCACGGTATCTCTTTGTTTTGTTTTTAGCATCTCGCATCGAGGATGTGATTGAGCATGTTAACATTTGTTCATCTGAATTGGATATCTTGCAAATCACATCTAACTAATTAGTCACTACATCACACGTAGTGGTAAGATGTGTTGAGCCATGGCTTCACGTCGACATAAAGGGCATTCGGGTTTTTCCCTCACCCAGTCTCCTATACACTCCCAACAGAAGACATGACCGCATTGTGTTGCGGAGGGATCTCTCATCTCTTCCAAGCACAGTGTGCACTTTCTTTGTTGTCCACCCTTGATGTAGCCCATGGTCTTGTCATCAGTCAATTGAATACGTGGTACAGCTGCTGCTGGGGTGTGTGTGGCAGCAAAGATGTCGACTTTAGCCTTTGAGCTTGAAGCCCCTGTGGGTAGCAATAGGTTGTTATCGCCATTGTAGGCTCCGTCATGGTTCAAAGAGATATCATCAGAAGCCCCAAAAGCAGCGCGTTCGCGAGCTGCTGACTCGGTAATTGTAGATCGAACATGGGTATAGCCCTGGACCGCAAGTTGAATGACAAGCAGTACACCTAGGAGTTCGTATCCTGCACGATCGGGTGTATCAGGAACGGTACGTGTGAATACGTATCGCAGGGAAAGAAGTCTCTTGGACAGCTGGTAATATGTACCGCTGAAGTAGAAAAGGGCTAGAATAACGGCTTTGAAAGGAGCGCCTGATGTGAAAGAGCCCAGATGCTGGTCTAGGTAAGACCACATGCGCGCTTCGCGCCCTGTCGTCGAACCGTTATCTCGTTTGCGAAGGCTCTCTAACCGGCGCTGTAGAAGGTTGCGCAGCCGAGCGCGTAGCCCAGGGAGAATCCGGGCCGCGATATAGGGGAGAAGAATGCTGGCAGCTACGTAGCCTGCGCGACGGCCGATAGCAGGAAGTTGACCATCACGCGCATCTATCTGCACAAGATCGCAATACTCCTCGCCGAGGGTTCGGTTCCCGGGAATTGTTGTGAGAGCAAAGTAGGCGAGCGTTGCCAGGGTCTGGATCTCGGGTGCGCGGGCGTGTGTGAGACGGGCACCGCGAAGGCGACGATGCAGATCGCTCAGGATCTGTGTGAGGTGGCCGGTGAAGTATGCATCCTTTTGGTGAGAGCGGATGATGTCGGGGGCGGTGGCAAAGGGATATGGTGATGCTGATGAGGACGATGCTGAAGAGGAGGAGGAGGACATGACTGATGGTTTATGATCGGCAAAAGAGAGCGCGCATGCGCATGCACGGGGTGTGATGGATGGATGGATGGATGGGAGGATCGAGCGTGGTCTGGTTATTAGGGCAGTACGAAGGCGAAATGAACGAAGCCAAAAGTCGAGGATTAGCAGAGACCGGAAACACAATTTGGTGAAGGTGTTTAAGCAGCAAAACGAACCTCGGGACAAGGTTAAGCTGAAGCGCTAAGTTAGCATTTCGGTCTTCGGTAAGTACTCCCCGCGTTCCTTACCATGTGAGTAAATATTTCCTCTTCAGGAAATGCACACACTTAACTTAGACATTAGGAGTAGATATTCCATCTTGTGCAGGATGGGGGCAGTAAGATATGAGGGAACTATCGCCGTATCTCTTAATGATGCCGTGGTCATTTCACGCAAAATGCGAAGTGGAGGCAGCAGGATAGGCAGTTAGGTAGACGAACACTTAGAACCTGTATCCTAAGGGATCAAAAGATTTAGGTAAATTTAGTATAACTTAGTAAAGCTTTAGACTAGGTACTCTATACCTTAGTGTAGTCATTGGATAGATAATGCCCAGTCAGTCAGCAACACTTATAGAAAAGCCAAAAACACATACACAATCAAGAAATACAACAACAGCACATATCGCAATGGCACCTACAATGGATGTAAACAAAAGGCCCTCCATACATGCACGGGCCCGCACTGAATCAGAGGCCAGTTTACTCTGTACTTCTGTTGCCTTAATGACGTAATCACGGCCTCAAATATTAACCTTAACGAGGTCTTCCTCTCGCCTCTCTGCCCAAGGTACGCCTCTTCCTTCAACCCTACCAAAAGGATATTATGCTTTAATTCACACCCATCGCACTTTTCCAGTACGTCATCCAAATGCTCCTGACCAGATCACTTTTCTAACATAAATCATAGTCATCGTCTCGATGTATATAGGCAACAGCCTGCAGCCGGACGAGGGAGTCTCGTTTGAACGAGGATATTCCGGTCGTCAACGGAGAGCACTACCCAACGAACTCCTCATGGGATTGACAATCGCAAGACCCAAGTCAAGTCTAAATCTCCCACCAGTTGCTCAGCGCGATGTACAAGTCTCTTTTGCTACATCGAGACTATCAGTAATGAAGATCAATAATTGGACAGATCGAGGTATCCGATATATCAGATTTGGTGTTACAACGGATGAGCCTCATTGGAAGAGGATTGGGCTATCATTCTTACGCCGGGCCCAAGCTGAAGCCGCGAGTCCGCTATTGCATTTGGCGAAGAAGATTTCTGAGCAACTCCCATTCGACCAGGATCATCACCCTGCTTCCAGTACTAGCTCTCGATGGATGGGATATTTGACCGCCCAAATTTCAAGGAGAAATGGTTTCCTTTCTTGAAAGAAGAAGAAACGCAAATTTTCTCGCCTCGAGTTGAGGCCATACTTCAGAAGATCACAACTATTCGTGAGCTTTGGCCTGGAGAGAAAATTGTTGTAGTTTCCCAGTTTGTTCTTTTCCTCGACATCATTAAGGAAGGAATTGAGCGGCTCAGCAAGACGGATCCCAGATTCAAGATCCATCTTGCTGAGTACAACGGCGCGATCAATCTGGAAGAACGTTCTCGGACTCAGTACGCTTTTAACCTACCAACTGGTGGGCCAGAAGTTCTTCTACTCAGTGCAGGAGCTGGCGGGGTGGGCCTCAACCTTGCGAGGGGTTCACACATGGTTATCGCAGAGCCACCTTGGGAACCTGGTAAAATGGACCAGGTCATCGGGCGGACCTATCGGCTCCCCCAAGAAAAAGAAGTCCATGTATGGCACATGATCGCCCACCCGTCGGAGATCGACCAATTCGTCCTGGATAGACAGGCACGAAAGACCCATTTTGTAAGACACCTTCTCGCTGCCGTTACAGGAGAAGCAGATACAAAGGCAATAGATATCAATGAGAAGGCATTGCCTACTCACACCGTCTATGAGTGGGCGAAGGGGAGGGCCAAAGATATAGCTGAGAATGAGTGTATCAACGAGGCGTTAGAGGAGTGGACTTCTACTCTGTAGAGTCAAATTAGAAAGCTTTAGGACTGCTTTAGGACTGCTTTAGGACTGCTTTATGATTTATTTACTAAGCTTTGCCTAAACTTATGCCTCTATTCTAATATCTTCATCAACGTTACCTAATTCTTTATACAGCTCAGATAAAAGTGACTGGAAATAAGAGGACGAACTGGGCGTGACTGTTGAATTGGCTTTGCAGCTTTGTTGCATCTTACTCTACCTCTAAATATTTGCAACCGACAACTCATCCCTATTGTGGCCCTAGGGGCGGTTGGTTGAAGTCAAACGGCGCCATCACGCCTTGTTCTGAACCTTGAAGCTGCATACTCAAGAACTCGTCCGTCACAAGTGTACCTAACTCTTCTCCCCACTGAGCCATGAGCTCAGCTGTGACATTGTGACCCAACTCTAGGCCGTTCATGAGATCTGGCCCAATGAGAGGATCTTCCGGGGGCATCACAACCTGTGCATTTCGTGCCCGTACGACATAATCTTTGATCTCACCCATGCATGGCCAAGTGTGCTGTACTTCCTCCATTGCATCAATGACGGTCGAGAGTGACCGTGCAATGTCTGAGTCTTCCCACGAGGCTCCCTGGAAGAACCTCTTCATCATAATGGTGCCAGCTGCCGTGGATAGAGTCTGGACAAAGTCCAGTGGCAACGAGCGGAATCGATAGTGTCGCGAATATGTTCTCATCAAACGCAGGATAGCCTGCAGCGACTCGTAGCAGATCTCCACGTCTTCGCTTTCGGCAATGCCTTGTTTCTCGTACATATGCGAAGGTGGCCGGTGAAGGATAATCATGATCGTATGGAATAGCATGCTTCAGCTGGTTAGCATATAAAGATGACGCGGCTTAAGGGGGCAACTCACTGCATACGAAGCACCGAGGGTTGCACCACTCCTACAGTCCATTGGTTCCAGTGCAGAGTACCGGGAAGACTCGATAGCCACTTTGTGAGCGACACGTGTATTTGTCGTGACCTGGCTGCAGCTACGGTGGCGTCGACGTTACCTCGACGATTCTCGAAGAGATCCGTGATCATGAGATGGGCGATCTTGCAGAGCTCTGCTTGGTAGATGAAGGACCCAACAAGTGCAACACCGTCTTCGAATTCTGTTGCGGAAGCACCTTTACAAATGTACGTGTCCAGCAAACCCTCCCAGTCTGGAGGGTACTGTAATCTGATAGTGTTGCGGACGTCTGATTCGCTGGGGTGCAAAGCTGGTGGTCTTCCAAAGTAGAGACTCAGCTGCTTGTCGGCAATGAAGATAGCCCAGTAGACTCGTCTGAGAATCTCCGTGTCACGGTTTGAGGTTCCTTCTGTCGAAGCGTCCCAGTTGTTTGGGTCAAGGTGAAGACCCATCTCATGGGCAAGTCGGAAGGCCATACCAGCAAAAAGCCAGCCCTTTGACGTGTGACCTACACCAATTTCACGGTAACCCAGCAAGGCCAAAGCCTGCAGTGTGGTGAGTTCTGGGCTGTCGAGAGCTGCGTAGATCAGTTGCTGGGCCTGGTGGGCAAAGATATCGGATACTGAGCGAGAATCATCGAGCTGCATGGCGCCAAGCGAGCAGATAGCAAAGAGCAGGGCATCTGAATAGTATCTTCCCGAGCCAACATCATAGTCTCGTAAGAAGTACTCTCTGTATATGAGCATATGGAACTGATACTGATACTTGAAATAGGCTGCCATGCATGTCTGGGAAGTCTCATCGTGAGGTGCGTAGACAAAGCTCGGGTCTCTCGGGCTACTGGAAGCGCTCACTTCCGGTATGTTCATCATGAGCGGTGTAGAGTTAGATTCGAGGTAGGTAGTTATCTCATCTGGGGATAATGAGACCTCTTGTGAGAGATGGATGTGAAAAGCGCTGGTGCCGCCAAAGAACTGAGTGGCATGGCTCGATCGAGGACGTCTCAGCTGTCCAGAACGGACCTGAGCAGCTACGACTTTGGGGTCAGTATTTGACTTGGCATGGTCAATCTGCGACTTCTGTGTAATGTCGAGTGAGGCTGGTGGTGAGAGGGCGATCTCGGACAGCATCTCATCTCTTTCAGCGCTATCGGCAACGGCGAGCTTGCGAAGCAGCAGCTCAAGAGATGCCACTTGGCCCTCCAGAGCTTGAACATAGCCTTTAGATATTGGCCTGGTTGGTCTTAGAGTTGGTGATAGTTCATGATTCTGGCGAGGTAGAGTCATACCGTTGCTTCTCTCCGCTACCACTGAGGATACATTCCGTGCCAGCCTTGATACACCGCGAGCACGGTCGTTTTCGATCACATTTTATCTTGTTGAAGAGTTAGTATGAGGTCGATATAGAGGCTAAAGACATGGATATCGTACCTTGCGGCGACGACATCGTTCACAACTATAGAAGTCATCTTGGGTCAGCGCATGAAAGTGGAGTGGGGCTTAGATGAGGGGATTACTCACGATATCTTGATGGACTCGCCCATTGGCGTTTCCTCCATGATGAGGGAGGGGTAGAGGAGAAGACGCTTGAATATGGGGTTTCTGAGCGTTGATCGCTATTTTTTGAGACAATTAATAGTCATACCATGGATCGTTGAGTGGTAGAAACGGTTCGTTTAGACGCCAAGGGTGAATCGCTGGCTACTACTGGCTGTTTTTAGTGGCTTGTCACTTGACCTCAGCCTTCAACATTCCTATATATCTAGGTATCTAATCACTATGTATTGCTCATACAATTCTCAAGTGTAATGGAAAACATGGACAGATTAAGCAGGAGAAGTATCATCTAGAGATGACTGATTCCGGACTTGAATTGTAGACGGCGTGATTTCACTTGCTCGACGTATGTCCCGGGTAGCTCCAGATGATCTGATCTGACAATTGCCTTGGAGAGTAAGGATGAATGGCTGCAACCGAAAATGTCCAGGACAAACGTTGAGAATTGAGCGAAAGGTCTTCTTACATACAATGGTCACACTTTTCCTTGTTTTGATGCGTCAGCTGTTCAGCCAGTTGAGGAGAACTCCTTGTGGATGGGAGCACGTCAGTTCATGGTTAGTACAATCAATTTTTTGAGCCAGCAAAGGGCAAAAGGGTGAGCATCCTTGTCTCTCGGGGGCCTTGCAGCCAGCCTTGTAGATTCAAAACCGTGGGCCACTGCCTGTGGTGTAGTAAGTATATGGACTCTGAAAGGAAACCTGATCGGAACATTGTTGCAGGTGGGTTGTATACAGCCTCTAAGCTTCTGACAGGGCTGTAGACTCATTGACACCTGAAACACTTGAGTATGCACTGCAATAATCAACCGACAAGATAATGAACCCAAAAGATAAGACCGCTGTTCTGCAAAGAAGCAACCAACACGAATATGCTTAATACAGAAATCTCCGAAGGCGCAGGACGATGATGACAGGGGAATATGCGGCCAACAGCCACGGAGACGGGGCTTACTGAATGACAGGGATCTATTGAGTGACATACATACTGAATATTCATAGTAAGAAGAAGCAGAAGAAGAAGAAGGGCTGAAAGAGATGGCGAGTCTTGGCATTGGAAGCAGGGGTAAACATGCTGGCTTAGACCCGGAGTCGGTGGCAACGAGATGTCTCCGGTCTTGCTATCGTGAGTTGTGTATTTGCCAGTGACATTCATATTTTGTATCATGATGCATCTGCTATTTTCGTGATGATCTTAAGTATGGCCTAGCGAGCGGTTGTAAACTGAATGCACATCAGCAAAACCTGACTTTGTTTGTCTCTGATTTCTGAGACATTTCTTTGACCTGTATGTACTGTACTTTGCTGACCTACCTAGTTCAGGGATACTCTGCGAAGAAAATAAGGCCATTCCCCCAAAGTGCCAAGAACTGTAGAGCCTAGCCTAGCACCTACAAGTATGTCTATCGCCCACGCCGCAACCTGGAACGACTTGGCCGATTTGAATGCCTGAAAGCCTCTTCCGCATGATGGGAAATTGTGGAATTGGGTCAAAGTCTCGACCTCGGACCCGCTACGATATGGGCTATGCTTTGATATCGGCCGACGACAGCACAGCACAAGACAGGGCAAGGATATCGTGATTTAGCCTGGGTTCCTACAGTAGCGCTGAGATTCGGCCAATGATGGCCGCCACGTTTTTCTTGTCCGTAGCCTCTATCCGTATCTTTAATAACATCACCAACTGCATAAAGGTTAATTCACTCTTACCTTACCTTACCTTACAGTGATGTTGTCTCTCACTCTGAGGTGCCTTCGCTTAGATTCGACCCCCCAATCCAACCAATAATGCCTTAAGATACCTGGCCATAAGACGGATTCAATCTGGATTCTTGGCTCTTGGCTCTTGGCTACCTATACTTTCACCTCTACCTAGCCGCCCGCTGATTTGAAGTACCTCTAGCCCCCCTGCGCGGGTGTGGCGACCGACTAGCACTAGGTAAGGTACAGTAGTTTAAAAAACAAGCAAGGGTCTAAACGGTTTCTTTCAACTTACATGGGCCAGCCAACACTCGCTCTATAGCCACCTCGGAGTAGGCAAGGGAACTCTTGGTAATATTCCTTCGTATGTATTAAAGGTCCGTCCCCATTGTCAGCTCAATTAGTCTCGTTTCCTTTGTTTCGTGCTTCTTTGTCCATTTCATGACCTCATATTAATGAAACTGTCCTACTTAAACAACTCGCCATAATTCGAGGTCTAGGTAACTCAAAGCCCCTGGTTATTGAACCACCCACATTCAAAACACCAGAGACCGAGTGCCTCAAACATCCATAATGACAGCCGCTCCGAAACTGTCGAATCCTGTCTCAGAAGAAGACTCTATACATACACTCAATAACGCGAACAACATTCATGATGGAGCCGTGTCGAAAAAACAGCCCAGCCGGAAAAAATGGTTCATAATTGGTGCAATTGTGTGCCTAATAGTGCTAATACTGAGCTTGACGCTGGGGCTGTATTACGGACTCAAAAAGGTATGTTGCAACTGATCACTTAAACACATACAGTCTTTGGCAGTCTGTAAAATACAACCTGAAGCACGACTAAACCCGTGTTCTCCAAAGGAACACAATGTCGATAAACCCACTGCCAAAGACAACGCCGACCCTCCCTCTCCACAACCCAGCGATAACCCAGACAACAACTCAGATGACAATGATAATAACAAAGACAAGGGGAAAAGTTCAGATGGTGATAAAGAAGAGCCAGAAAAGAAGAAAGAAGGCCCCTTTGTGGACTTGGGTTACTCCAAGTATCAAGGCAATGTCCTCGAGAGCAATATCTATGAGTATCTCGGTATACGCTATGCAAAAGCCCCAACGGGCGATCTTCGATGGAAAGCACCTCAGGAACCCGAGTCCACAACCGGAACACTAAAGGCTCAAGAGGTAAATGCACTTCGGCTCACATCACAAATCAACAGTATCTCATTCTCTATAGTACGCCCCTTACTGCCCGGGAGTCAACGACGGTCTCAGCTCGCGCATCGATGAAGACTGTCTATTCGCCAACATATGGACTCCTGCAAATGCGACCTCTGACTCAAAACTCCCCGTAATGGTCTTCTTCCAATCAGGTGGCTACATTAGGAACGCTTCTCCATACGTGAACGGCACACAGCTCATCTCGGCCTCAAACAACAACATCATCTTTGTAAACTTCAACTATCGTGTTGGCATGTTTGGGTTCCTCGCTTCCAAAGAGGTCAAAGAAGATGGCGACCTCAACGCAGGATTGTTGGATCAGAGATTCCTCCTCAACTGGATCCAGAAACACATCGAGGTGTTTGGCGGTGATCCTGAGCATGTTATCCTCCATGGTGAATCTGCCGGTGCCGGTTCTGTGGCCCTTCAGCTCGTTGCTTACGGTGGAAAAGACGAGGGTCTTTTTGCTGGTGCAATTGCTGAGTCGACATTCATGCCTGGTCTCCCTAGCCCTGACGATCTACAGTATCAGTTCAATCGAGTTGCCAACGCCACAGACTGTGCTGATGCCGACGACGCATTGAAGTGCCTCCGCGGGATCAAGTCGACAGACCTTCAAACCCACAACGCAAAGGCTCCTTTCGACGGCCGCACTTATCGATCTTACTTCTACTGGGCACCCACTACTGATGGTGACATGTTTTCAGACTTGCCTTCTAAGCTCTACGAGAAGGGCGAATTTGTCAAGGTGCCACTACTGTCTGGCTCTTGTACAAATGGTATGTATCTGAACCCAAATTCATGTTGCACTACTAATCCTGTACCTAGAAGGATCCAACTATGCCGTCAACGCAGGCAGCTCAGCCCAGTTCATACGCTACATGCAGAATGAATACCCCTATTTGACCACAGATGACACCGAGACTATTCTCGACCTCTACCCGCAAGAGCCCAAGATCGCAAAACACGATACTTGGTTCCCCTCAGCCTCGCGTGCATACGGCGAAGCAACCTTCATCTGCCCTACAAACAACATCCTCAACGCCTTCGCTGAGCACGCCGACCCCAAGACCCTCTGGTCCTATCGCTATAATGTTGCCATTGAAGAGTTCACAAACGACGGCTATGGCGTTCCTCATGTCTCCAATGCGCCCGCCGTCTTTGGCCCTGATATGACAGCTGCCAAAGCTGGCCCCAGCTATCGCACTTACAACGCGCCCATGGTCCCCATCGTCCAGAACTACTGGATCAGTTTTGTCCGTAGCTTCGACCCAAACACTCACCGTGACGAGGATGCTCCTCCATGGGAGAATTGGGGCGATGACCAGCGACGTCTAGTTTTTGAATTGAACAACAACACCATGGAGACTGTGAACAAGGGCCAACGGGAGCGATGCGAGGCTTGGTTAGATATGAGTGGTTCTACCAAGCAGTAATGATCTTGACGACTTTGATTACATCACGATTCACAAGCATTTATTTCATTGAATATAACTTGATACCCATGCCATATACATAATACATCTATGCACATTCACCCTGCCGATCCAATGCGACCAGACTAGTTGATCTCGTTCATCACCATGATTGCCTCGAACCAAGTAATCATATGTTTCATCTAATGCTCGTTCTGCCTCAAGTTGCTCAACATATCAATGTTTAGCATAATGCCATTGTACTTCATGCCATCACAACAACAAGGTAATATGTTCAACTACCAATAAAATAATCACTATAACATTCAGTCATGGTAGTGAATAATCTCACCCTGGTTGAATTTCACAGGAAAAAGTCACCATGTTATCCTTCAGAATTCGAATACTGAGATCGGCTCAGTGTACGTCGCATTAAAGCTTGGACTGCCCGCTTTGCCTCTACTGCCCAGCGCTTCACTCGCCGTGTTCTGTTGCGTATTCTCTGTGGCAACATTACGCTAGGTGTCAGCATAGAATCTTCGAAAGAGCTGCCCTGAGTAATCTCAGACCATAACGGTGTAGGGTCGCTGAGGTTGGCCGGGCCTCTTGGCCTGTTCCGTACGTTCGTTGGCGAAGCCCGGTGTCGAAGAAAAGACGACTTGTTCCTCGTGGGCTTTGAATAGAGAGTTCTGTCAAAGTTCTTCCTTATGAAGTTCTTCCCTGAATATAGTGTTTTGTCAAAGTCCCATCTGTCGAAGATTCCAAGTCCGCTATCAAACTTTGGTTGACTCACTAGTTCCGCCGTTACTATACCCTTAGTTGAAGGGGGATAGGGAATATCAAACTGGTCAGACAGCTGTCGCGAAGGTCCTCCGATAGTTCCTTCGTCGATATTAGAGAGTCGCTTATCAACACCAAACTGTGCAAGTTGCTCTTCCAGTGCTTCCCTAAAGCTGGATCGATCTGTAAAAGCGTCTCTGTGAGGAAAGTTCTTCAACTCTAGGAGAGAGCTGTACTGTTTTAGAGGGCTGTTGCGCACAATTGTTCCATCAGGGCCCATTAGCTTATTGCTCATTCGACTTCGAGACACTTTGAGTCTTAGTCTTGGCTTGATAGGATTACTGGAGCTTCTCTCAGGAATGCCCGGAGAATCAAGGCTCCATTTGCTTTGAAGCCCTGACTGAGACGACCTTAGACGAACTTTGAACCGAGAGGGATTGGACTGGGTTGGATGGTAAGATGGCTTTGTCGAGTTATTGGTTCTTGATGCTGGTTTTGAACATATCGTATCCGCACCTACTTTAGACTCCAGGCGAATAGCATTATTGGCAGGACTGCTGGCATACATCTTATATGCGTGGGTTGCAGTATGTCTAGACGAGCTCCAACAATGGAGATCGGAATTGTATTGTGCTTCGTCAGGTAACGGTGGCAAAGCCTTCATCAACTGCGGAATACTGTTTGTGACCCTCAGCTGATGTGCTGGTGAGATTGGGTTAGGTGAAAGAATCCCAGCGTCTATATCTGCTTTTGGCACGTCCAGGGGCACGTCCTGTTTCGGCAGAGTCACATCATTATCTTTCGGGATCTTGATGTTTGTATTTGCGGGGGATCGGCGATAATGCACCCCATGGAGCTTTGGTTTCACAGAGACCGCTTCGTTTCCCATATGTAACGAAGGTTTGTTAGGGCATCGAGCTTCCGTCTTTGGTGGAACAGGAGGTGGACTTGCCCGAACAGTGTCATGTTCACCAGAACCCTTCTCTTGTTGGCTACCTTCCCAAACCCAGTCGTCTTCGCTGGTATCGATAGATAGTACGGGAGAACCGCACTGGGCTAGAGTGGAAGTCATCAGGTGGCCTTCCTTCGGCTGCTCTCCTCGAGGTACTGTATCTGTGTCGCGCGTTGAAGGCCCTACAGCTGAGATATCTGAGGTACAGCAGGGCTCGGGGAAACTTGAAAGCCCACCATTGTAAGTCTCTGGTTGCTTTTGCTAAAAGCGGCTGTCTTCCAGCTTCTCCGTTGCTGGTTGCTCCGAGACCGGCTGCATTGGGGATTGTTGAGTTCTTTTGATTGAGATCAGAGTTTCCTTGCAACCAGAATTAATATCGCAATCATAAAATTCTTGCCGCTTAGGACTGGACGCATGCAAGCTGCCATACATAGGCACCGAAGCTACCTGGGTTTGTTGCTTTTCACGTAAAGCTGAGTTTCCATTAGAATCTAAACTTGTTAGTTTCGCCAAACTCATCAACAAAAGCCATACCTTTGAAGCTGGCCGGGGGCGCCGCATCTGTTTCCTCCATGTCATCTTTCATCAATATTCCGATAGTGTGTCCTTGAGGAAAGCCGATTGTGGACGCATACTCAAATTCACACGGGAATCCTTTGTCAAACTCTTCCGTATAATCGTAATAGAACGAGCTTGGCGAACGAAGAGGTTGCAAGGCATCGTCCGGGGTCCTCCCGTGATACATGTCCACGATGGAAGTCAAACTGGCAGATCGAACACTGTGATCGCCAGGCATATACTGAAGGTATGGGGATTTCGGTGGCGGATATCCCGCACCGCTGGGTCTTCTTGACAGATTGGCCCTTGAACCGTAATAAGGTGCGGATGAGGAGCGCGGGGGTAATGAAGACATTGATCGGCTGAATTCGGGCCTCAAGGACAAGGGAGGGTATCGTCGATGCTTGCGATAACCCCTATGCATGTGAGAACTGTGGTTCATGCGCTGTTAACCGTCAGACTGGGGTTGAATATGAGAGAAGGAGGAGTTACTGACATGCGAAGACCTGTCAATCTCTACCATTCTCCGGTGATCAATGAGACCGTTATCTGTCACTGCTGGAGAAGAAGGCCGGACACCAGGCCGTCTTAGACGCGTGGGATATGGAAATGGTGAGCGAGGGCGCTGATGGCCATTGTTGCTTTGTTGGCTGTGAAAAGTACCGGATGATTTAAAAGAAGGAACCCGTCTTGAACTACACGTTGTCAAAGAGTGTGTTCGCTGGCCTTCTGACGCGGGAGAAAAAGACCTGGGATGAGGAACTCCAGGAGAGCCATATAATGAAATAATCTCGGAAGTCGTGTCTCGATACGAGGGTAGCGATCTACGGTCGTCCCGAATTGGACCGTCCTTAACTTCATCGTAATAAGGGCGAGCTGGCCGCCTCACCCTTTTATGACCGGCTCTCGTGCGAGGGGGTCGAGATGTATTTGGAGGTATACCAGAATTGATGGAGTAGATACCAAGATCTCCGGTCTCCGTTGTCGTCTTCAGCATGCTCTCTAGAGGTCCGGTAGAGCGGAGGAGAGCCGAAGTGTCGTTCAGGCTCTGGAAGGGTAGTCGTGGCTGAGAAGGAGACCGTAGCCTCGGGGTAGTGGAACGTCTTTCATGAGATTGATAGGCGCTGTGCAACGAAGCTTGGCTAACTGATTTGTATTTGGAATCACTGAGGTCCATGATCACTCGCCAACAACTTGACGCTGTCGCTGCATGGAATGAAAATGGGGGGAATAAGATAGGCAAGGAATATTCGACTGATCATTTACTGATCAGGAGACCAAGAAGACCAAGAAAGTCGGAGTAGGCGATTACAAGCCAAAATGGCAATAGTCACAGGCAAAAGATGGACACATTCTCGAGAGAATGATTATTAGTGAAGACAAAGTATTGACATTTGATGGAAGTTGAGGTCATCTTGAGGCAGGATCCTTCCTTCGGACAGGAATAACCTACGAAAGTATGAGGAGTCTACCTTACCTAATGTTGGAATTCTTCCTGTTTTTAAAGAGGCACGCTCTTGCGAGCACACCTGCACTTGCCATTATTTGAATCAGAGGGTTGATCTTGATGTTGCTATCACCCTGATGAATATGAAGAACGAGTTACCTCTAGTACTAATTTAGGTATGTTGTCGTGGTTTGTACCTACCTACCTAGGGAATGCCAATCTAACAGGCAACTAGGTAAGTACCTGAGGTAGGTGCTCGGGCAGTGTCCGGAAGGCAGTAAGTTGATGTCACACTTTGTTAGTAGCCAGGTCCGGGCAGGAAGAGCAATGGTGCCAAAGCTGAGGCCGGAGAGACGGCGCCTTCCTCGTGACATGCAACGAAGTCATCACTACCTACCTAACCTTAAGCTACCTTCCTCGGGGGAGACAGGCAACCTTTGGATATTTACACGACCCAAGTGATGAAAATATTTGTTTTAGTTTACCCTAAGCTTGGGGGACTCTTTACTGATTTTATTTTGGTATCCTCTCGAATCTCAAGTTTTCTTGCTCATTATTAGGTTGTTGTCGTTGTCTGTGGTGTGCCTGCCCACAGAAAAAGACACACCTCTAAAGGCCTGTTTCAAGGACGGCGTAAAGATCGACAACATTCTTGCAATCTATGCGATTGTAATGCCGATGATATGAAACGCCACGAGACCAAAGAAGGTATTGAGTGTTGGCTTTTCGGTGCTACAAATAGGATGTTTACTCGTCAATGAATGCATGTCGACGTGGGTGGCGCGGAGTCTTCCTTCGTAAAGAGCAGCATTAGGCGTCAAGATTTATGCCAACGCATTGACTGAAACGAATTGGTTCACCAACATAACATGCCTATCATGCCTGAGGAATTATCAATTCCCTAACTAACAAGTTGAATGTGTCCGTGCGATAGACTAACATCTCGGCCACCTTCACCGCCGATAAGGGCTCACGTGTATCACGAATCTGAATGAGAGACCGGTCACGTGTTTCTATTATTATCATGCGAGCTCCTACAATTAAGAGAACTAACGTCCCCCACCCAAAGACCGGCCACCCCTATAGACTGGCTACCTTAGCTAAAACACTAAAAACCTAATATTATAATTAATTAATAAATTATTATAATACTACATTTTTTATATTAAATAAAACTTTAGTTAGTAAATATTTATATAGAAATTAGTATAAAGATCCTTAAGTTTTAATTTCTTAACTTTATTTATTATTCTTTTTAATTATAAAGTCTTCTATATCTATTTATAAGCTTTCTTTATTACTAAAATCTTTATAAACTCTATATTTAGGTTATAGATAACTTTTTTATACTATTTTAGTTAATTTTCTTTATTTCCTTACTATAAAATACTTATTTCTTTATTTTATTATTTAATATTAAAGTTATAATAGTTTAATTAACTACTAATTTTCCTAAAAAGCAGCCTAATAGTTAGATCTTGCGTTATAGAAGCTAGGACTTAGCCTAGAGCTTACTAAAGCTATATAGATAAATAAGGAGTCTTTAAGAGACTTAAATCTTGCTTTTTTATTAGTAAATTTACTATAATAGTAGGAGAAGGTATTTCTATAACTATTAGGTTTATTAAGACCTTTACTAGGTTTATAGGCTATAGTTTAGTAGCTTTAAAGCTAGTAATTATATTAGACTTTATAATAGCTTCTCTCTAAGCCTTATTATAAGTATATAGAAATGTAATTTTACTAATATAACTATTATTAGAGATAGAAATAAGATCTAAAAGAAGATAATAATATACCCTCTTTAAAGGACTTAAAACTGTAATATCTAGTAGCTAAAGGATATAGGAAGTATAAGTAGGAAGAAATAATAAATATATATTATTATTATAATATTCTTAAAAGAAATCTTCTATAATATAACTTTTATAGCTATTAAAAATAAGAAGTTAAGGTTTATTTTTCTTTTTAGGCTATATTAATAAAATAAAGACTTTTCTTAACTAAATGTTAAGACCTGACTTTATAAAAAGGTCTTATTATATAACTAAGGAATATATTATATTCTAGATAACTAATTAGGGCAAAATATATACTATAATAATAAGAAAATTTAGAGCTTTTAATTAGTATACTTACCTAAGTAAAATATAGAGATTTAAGCTAATCCTATATATTAAAGTTTTTATAAAACTTTAAATATTTCCTATATAGGGAATATTAGTTAGAAAGTTATATAACTAGGGTTATATAATAATTATATAATAAGGATTAC